ACTAATTTCTCATACATTGTGCATTGAGCATCATTTCATATTAAACATTGTAAATGTATTGATTTTGAGAAAAATGGGTAAATATCTTGGTGAATTCTGGTTAGGGGGTGTGGTTGTGATTATGATGTTGGCCTATGTGTCCTTGGTGAAAGTCCAAAAACCCGCTTGGTTAGGTGTCGATCCTTCCGGTTAGTACCTGTAAAATGGCTTTGGTAGTGCTTGTATAACCTACTGGTAGACACGTACCTAGAGATTCCTAGTGTTTTGTATCGAACAGCAGGATTGGATAATTATAAAATCATATTAATCTGCCCCTCCCTTTCTCCAATCACAAAGTTATTGTAAGGATAATGACTAATAAATGACAATGATGCCCTTGTTTTGCATTTCACATCCTTGGTTCTTGTAATGAATGATGAATGATAATGATGTCCCTGCTAGACATGGTCTAAATTCATGCCAGAATTGCTCATTTGCTAAGTAATAGAAATTCCCTTTCTTTTGTTAGATGTCCTGTATTTTAATGCATTATCTTGCATCTCCCACATGTAAGAAAATTTAAGCAACATTGTAGGTAATTCTGTGATGAGTTTTGTTAATTTGTAGGTTTTGAATTATTTGAAATTATTGACGCCCTTCTTTTTTCAATTGACAACAATTCACATAACTATTTTAGTAATCCACAATAATGTTTCTCTTTATATGTACTATTCATTAGGCAAACCTTTCTTTGGTCTCTAATGCACAAGTCAGTAGAAATATTCCTTCGTCAATGCTTGTGCTCATAGAATCCCCGTCCGTTTCAGTCTAGTAAAAAGTGATGGTTTTTGCAAACTAGTTATTCCTAGTATCTTCAACCATAAAGCTATTTTCTCCTATGTTGAATGAACCCCTAAATACCACTTCATTTTTTGCGTAACTTTGTGGCAGAGAAAAAATTCAAGATCGTGTTCACTTTGTTAACAAAACCCTTAATGTAGCTCCTTATCTTGTGTCCATTAATGTTCTTGTTTAGAACTCCCAGGTACTTTCGCTGAATTACGGTGTCAGTTCACATTGCAAGCATTACTTTATTTATTCATTTTTCCATTTTTTCTAGGAGTCATAGTTTATAAAAGTAAATTCAGTAAAGGAGTGTCACCTGTATACACTTATCTTTTCTTTCAGTTTGACATTCTACTTCTTCATTTTAGTAGGATTCATTTACCTTTTAACTAATATCACTCCTTTGCCTTTTTTACTTCAGTCATCTTTATTCATGCTTACTAATAGCATGACAAGTGATCTATGAGTTGACAGTAGAAAGAACTATTTGGGTCATTTAATTCAAATTCTGACATTCTCAGATTTTTTTCATGATCTTGGAAAATGATGAGAGGTTCATAAAGCTGGTTCATTCATTTGCAAAACAAGAAGTATATAATAATTGACAAGTCAGAAGGGAAAAATGTGAAAATGAGAAAAAAAAATAATAATAAAATAAAAAACCATGAACATCTTTCCACAACCGAATTCACATTGACCATGTTCGGTTTATTACCTGTAATTCTTTAGGAGACGAAGCTTCTGATAGAATTCGATAAATTCAAGTTTCAACCTTTCTTCAACTTTTCTTAGCTCCTATTTATTAAAACTCAAGTCCTTTTCCTTGGAATCCTTCAGAACACCTTTTATAGTTGATATTGGACTTCCAAGTGTATTGTTAATCTTCACATGATCAAGGATTTCTAGAGGGATTAGGATACCTCTTTGCTGGTGTTAGGGAACTTGGGTTTGCATGAGTTCCAAATGAAACTAATTGTTATCATTTAGGAAAAGAAAACAGTAGCTGAAATTAA